ATCTTTTGAGCAATAATAATATGCTTTTTGAAGCCTAAGAAAATCCTATGAAATTCATGGGGTCGGCAAAATCGACAGGCGATTTCTGGTGTGAAAGCAACATACTCCAAGCTGGACTAGTCCTGCATTCTCAAAGTGTTCTCAGTTTGAAGGAGGTCATTTCTGTCCAGATAACCTCTTCTCTCTGTCCAGATAGCCGTTCTTTAAGGGGAAGGGCCAGCCCTTTCTCTGAACTGCCTGTTTCCTTTGTGAACTGAGCCAGTCCAGCTGTGTCCTGATAACAGTATTCCACCATGGGCAGGGTCTGCCTTCTTTCAGGATAACATTGTTATTGTCTTGGCCTTATTTCTGCATTACACAATAGTGTCTGAAGATTACCACTCCATCTGTCTGATATTCATCAAAGCAAGCTATCTGACCATTTCCTCCGTCTTCCTCTGCAGCTTTGGTTGCCCACTCTGCTGCTAGCACAACCTGCCTCTGCTTCTGGTCTAGTATAACCAAAGCTTGGGAAAGTTATTTTTGTGAGTTCAAGTACCAGAATCCCTAGTGAGAATAACCAGTGCCCATACTGGCTGGGGAATTCTGGCAGTTGTAGTCTGCAAAAGTTTCCACTCTTAGGACAATGGACCCTTGGTATCCGCTGGGTTTGGTCCCAAGACCCCCATGGATATCAAAATCTGTAGATGTTCAAATCCCATTAAATACAGTGGCATAGTAAAATGGTGTTCCTTATGCAAAATTGGAAAATCAAGGTTTGCTTATTGGAGTTTATATATTTTAAAAATATTTTCAAGCCATGGATGCTTGAATCTGTGGATGAAAAAAGGTGGATATGGAGGGCTGACTGCATAACTTAACTGGTTTCTCTATGAAGTAGGAGTCATTTTTCAGATTGCACAGACTCATGAGTTAGTACAACTTGCTAGTCTGGATAATGTTAATTGTTTCATGAATATGACCCCCTCTGTGCCTATTTAATTCCTGTGCAGTTTCTAACAATGGTCAGACTATGTGCTCAGCTACCTTCTGTATATAAGTGACAACTGCTAAGATTAAATAAGATTTGATGGCTACCTTTGATCTCTATTACAGCTTTTATCTAAACTCTGGAGAAATCAAGGGTCCCCAAAGGCAGCCTTTCCCTATGCTATGAAAAAGCTAATATGTTTGATATTAGTAACAAATGAATTTCCTAGGCTCTCACAATTAGATAGGTGCATTATTCAAAGTGGTACTGGAATTCCACACAAACTGGCTCCTCATTGATAACATTGGTCAAATATACATAAAGTAAATCCAGAGGGGCCCCAACAAACTACCATTTCCAGAATTTCATAGCATTGAGCCATGGCAGTTAAAGTTATGTCAAACTGGATTATCTTTGCACTACAGATGCAGACTTTATTAAAAACTAAATTGGGTAAAAACAAGGTGTTTGAACCTATGACTAAATACTTTACTTTGGCCTGAGCACTATGTTTCTGTTCAAAGTAGTCTGCAGTCCTTCAGGAATTGGCTGGGCTCTGCAGTGCTACGTTGCAACGACTGTGTTCACATGTCCTCAACAGCAGCTGCACAATGGCATCAAAGCTGTCAATAGTACACACAGTTCCAACTGATTTCACTTCCTGTAGAAAAGTCCCCCAAGACTTGTAGCGTTCCTTTGGTTAGAGAAAGATCTTTCGAGAGATAGTTAGCCAGTCTGGGTCAAAAGCAACAGCAAAATTCCCACATTAAAAGGGCTTGCGTTCATTTCCTGCTGGTATTGTCAGAGAAGGGTTAAAGGCACAGACGCTGTACAAAAACAGGATGTCGAGTTTTTCGTTTATTAAGCTACAAAATGCAAATCCCTTTCCGTTCCTCCCCTCTCCCCTCTTTAATAGCAGATTTAAGCAGGAACAGTCTGAGTGGTCAGATGCCAGTGTTCAACATCTAGATGGAAACCTGATCAGAACTGCTGTGTAGTAATCTCCCTACTGGCAAAGGTTCTGCAAACTAACAGCCAAATAATGCACTGATGCACACATGCACTATTCCATTTTACAAATTCCAGTTCTAATGCCATTTTGAGCCCCAGACAAATCACTTTAGAAATAGATCGGATCATTTATCAAGGCTTGCACATATGCACTCAAGAAATAACATACCCCATATCTTTACCCAAATTAAATAATTCTGTATAACCTGTGTGCATGTGTCTGTCCATACCATTGTCAACAAATATGCACTTTTTTTTTTTTTTTTGGCTGGGATATACAGTGGGCCTTTGTTATCTGCTGGAGTTTGTTTCCATGACCCCCCTTGGATAACAAAATCCATGGATGCTCAAGTCCTATTAAATATAATGGCATAGAAAATGATATCCCTTATATAAAATGGAAAATCAAGGTTTGCTATCTGGAATCTATACTTTTTTTGAATATTTTCAAACTGTGGATGCTTGAATCCGTGGATAAAAGATCCATGGTTAAGGAGGGCTGACTGTATGATGTTTGGGAATAATTTTGTGAAAATTTGTTCTGGTAAGTACAGTCAGCCCTCCATATCCACAGAATTTTTTTTATCCATGGATTCAAGCACCCATGGCTTGAAAATATTACAAAAATATAGACATTCCAAAAAAGTAAACCTTGATTTTTCCATTTTATAAGGGTCACCATTTATTATGCCATTGTGTACAATAGGACTTGAGTATCCATAGATTTTGTTATCCACAGGGGGTCCCTGGAACCAAACCCCAGAAGATACGAAGGACCTACTGTACTGCAACAGTATTAGAATTATCTTGATTGCTTGTACAAAAGCATCCATATGAGGGATAGTGAAGTACCATGAGAATCTTTCTGTTTAAGGCATGATTTTGCTGTACTTACTGGTGTATTTCTGAAAATGCCAGTGCCCACTTCAGAGTAAGCATTGTTGAAAATATTAAATTGCCTTCCATCTTACTGATTGTCACTTTGTCTGTTTTCCAGTTCTCGCCACATAGAAGCTGCAAAATTAAAAGTTACCATAAAAACAAAGCCTTGCTAAAGCCCCAGGGGTGTTATTCCAGGGCTCTCCCAGACTGATCTAAATAAGCATGAATTCTTACAATAGGAATCCCTCAGTTTTACTGGCCTTTGTCACTTTCCTCTCTACTCTTTCGATTCTATTGAGGGACTGTTAGTAGTAATTTGGGTAGCAATGTTAGTAGTAATAATGCTTTTTTCAAAAAAAAAGTGAGGCATAATTGTCAAAGTGATTCTATAATTTGAAGGGCAAGTTTTGTCCTTTTGAATCCCCCCCCCGACTTACAATATTATAGTACAAAACTGCTATTTCATGATGCACTACAGCACTAAAACTCTAAAAAGAAATTAAAGAGAGAAAAAGGAAATTGTTATTCCGATATGTCTCAGAATTAAGGAACTCTTGAGAGTGGGAATAAAATGTTGTAGCTGTAGCCAAGCTGGGAACCAAACTCTGGTTTCCAGAGTCATAGTCTAACACTCAGACCGCTACACCATTCTGGCTCTTGACCTGAGTAGAAAAAAGTGGTTTGAGTGTTTGACTCCAATTTTGGAGACCAGGGTTCAATTCCTAGCTCAGCTATGAAACCCGCTGGGTGACCTTGGACAAGTCACATACTTTCAGCCTCAGAGGAAGGCAATGGCAAACCTCCTCTGAACAAATTTTGCCAAGAAAACCCTGTGATAGGGCCATCCGAGGATCGACAAGAAATGTTGATTAGGTGCCTTCGAGTTGCCATAAGTCAGAAGCAGCTTGAAGGCACACAACAATAAACACAACATCCCAATGATTTATGCTATACATTTCCCATTCACAAATGTTTGATGGTCTAAATCAGGGGCTGGCAACCTACGGCCCGCGGGCTGGTTCCGTCCCAGGTCCCCGTACTTACCAGCCCAGGCGGACCCCTGCCGCCGGCGCTGCCACCGCGTGCCACCGCCACCGCGCGTTTTGGTTGTCGTGTGGCTGTGTGCGCCACGGCCGCCATTTTGATTTCCAAAATGGCTGCTGTGACACATTTGTGCATGCGCAGGAGTACTGCGCATGTGCAAACAAGTCACGGTCACCATTTTGGAAAACAAAATGTCAGCCACGACATGTGCGGAGGCGGTGGTGGTGGCGCATGCAGCGGCGGCGGCACGTGCGTGGGGATCGCGTGCGCGCCGCCATTCCCCCCCCCTCGGCCCAGTGGAAGAGGCAACTTCGGGGGACTGGCCCCCAGCTCAAAAGGTTGCCTACCCCTGGTCTAAATTAATAAATATTTTTCTTCCCTGGAGCCAGAGTTAGGATAAAGAAAAATGAAGATGTTGCATCAGTTCCTTGTTGAAATAAAAAACAAAAATCCATGGATGTAGATAGATTAAAGACACCTCCTTGACTATGCGCCTAAACCCAACTTTGGCATCCCACTCCTCTCTTTAATGTTAATATAGCCTTGATGTAAACATTATCCCGACTCTTGCGGTGGAAAAAAAGTGCAGTCAATAAATATGTTGACCCCAAAATCCTGAGATCTCACACCATAAAATATTAATAAAATGTGCACGATAACCAGGGAGATGTTCACATTAAAGTTCATAAACCTCACCTCTTAATTTTGAATTCTGAGATACGCATTTGACAATGCTATATCCACTTCCAACAAGATAATGGGCCTTTGCAGACTGCCAGAAATAGTGCACATTAAATTGAGGCACTGCCCTGCCTCAGTGCTAGGGAATCATGGGAACTGTAATTTATTGTGGCACCAGAGCTCTCTGACAGAGAAGGCTCAATGTCCAAGAAAAAAATCAATTCCCATGATTACCTAGCACTGAACCAGGGCAGTGCCTCAATTTAATGTGCACTATTTCTGGCAGTCTGCAAAGGCCCTTAATGTCTTTGAAAGCTGCCTTATACTGAGTCAGAGCAATGGTCTCATCACTCCATTATTGTCAACACCATTTGGCAGTGACTGTCTAGAGTTTAGAGTTTCCTGTTCTACCTGGAGATGACAGGGATTGAATCTAGGACCTTGTGCATACCAAACATGAGCTCTACCACTGAGCTACAACCTCATGCTGTCAATTTTTGAAAGCACAAGCCAGAGGCAGAGAATCTAAGAGGTCATTCACACATTGTTTTTTTTTTAGCACAACAATGTGAATCATCTCACTCATGAATTCTGGGTTTGTTATTCACACTATGGAACTGCATCGATCCACATCAACTCTGCAAGTTTGGTTATTCACACGTTCAAGCATTCAAATGAAGATGGAGCGATGATCTGAATGCATTTGGAACCCTCTTTTTTGGTATGCAGCATTTTATCCTGGATCTATTTGGGTCTATTCACATTGATTATTCACACTACTGATGAAGTAGATCTTTTTTAAAAGTTCAAGGAAAAACCCGATACTGATTATCCCAGATTAAGGTGGAGTTGGCAACCTCCCCCTGCAAAAAAACAACTTAATTGGGTGCATCCAGGATGTGTGTGAACAACGGAGATTTAACTTGGATTCATCCTGGATTATTTTCACAGTGTGAAAAAACCATTTGGCAGGGGGTTCTGTACTGCAGAAATAATACGGTTTGACACCAAACTGGATTATTTCTGCAGTGCGGATGCAGCCTAAGAAAGCCATGGAAAAGTACCAGAGCAAACATTCTCACCAGAAAAAAGATGTTGCAAGATGAAGAAGAAGACTGAGAAAGAAAAGAGGAAATGAACAAGGTACGGAAGAATTGGTGCCCCCTGTGTGTGTGTCTTTCTTGTGCCCTCTTCTCTGGGAAAGGCAGTATCTGTTTAGATTGGTGTCTAAATTTAAACCCTGGTGGCTTTGCCTCCTCTGGCCACCCTCCCTTCCTCTCCACCACCCTCCCCTCCTTCCTTCCTTCCTTCTTCTCTCTTGCAGGCCACATCGGACTCCTTTCAGTGTTTAAGCTGAGCTGAGCTGTAGCTGGGATATTAAACCCTTCCCAGCCCTGTGCGTCCTTTTTCCCCCTTGCCTGTCAGAGGTGTTGTGCAGAGGGACCAGGCAGACAGAGGGAAACTAGAAAGAGAAAGGGATGGGGGAACAAGTATTTCCCAAACTCATCCCACACCTACAAAACAGAGAGGTAAACAACAACATTTTTTCCTTTCTCTCTTTCTCTCTTTCTGCAGAACTTGATTCAAGTAAATGTGCATCAGCTTAAAAACAGCTGAAATGGCTGGCTAGGTCCACCATCCCCACATGTCAGTGGCTCTCTGGGTTTACAGTTTCTGATCTGGCTTTGGGGTGAAATGCCAGACTTGCATTTTTGTTCCTTTCTTCGCAAAAGTTTAAACTTGGGGTCAAGTTGATGTGTTTGGCCCCAGAAATTGTTCCAGAAACTGTTGGAAGTTCATTCATTTTTGATTCTGTCACTAAGGAATGCATGCTTAATTGGCCGCTGTTATTTAGAGTGAAACAAATGTTTTTTTTTTGGTGAGCATGTAGCAACTCAGTGTTAAACTTTATAAATTATTTATAAGCTGCTGCTAAAGCTTAAGCTTCCTTTCTTTTCCTTTTTGGAATGTTATCTCTGTATATTCTCATAACTACCATTGCTGCTTAGAGCTCAGCTTCTTATCACTCACTCATGGTCATATGTTTTCTTTTTTTCTGACCTGCCTCTTTGTGTCTTGTATCACTATAAATGTGAAAATCCAACAGGTGAACTATTTCCTATCATGAAAAAGGGCTAGTCGGGTAGTTGCTGGGTTTCTGCTTGACATACGGATACTAAAAGCATAGGAGCTCTGCCAAGAAAAAATCCAATAAGGTAGACAATTCTATATTTCTTAGTTCAAAAGCAAACATTTTATTCTCAGCTCTGATTTCTTAGGTGTGTCTTTTGAAGAAAGTTTAGAGCACTAAGGTTCTATCAGCAGGACTTAAGTGAGCTTAACTTTCTCTATATGGCTTATCTTCCTCTTAGATATTGATATGCAAGTTGTAGGTTGATATTTGGAGGGAGGTAGTTGAATACTATGTGAGAAGCCAAATTTGTTTACCGAATCCCAAAGATTAAAAGGATGTGATGGTTTGGATTTCAGGTAAATGCAAAATTCTTTAGGTTTACATATGTGTTTCTCATGTTTTTATAAAGAAAAACAAAATAAATATTAGAAAGGTTTATACATTATAAAGAAGACATAAAAGTTCTTTGCACCATAACAGTCACCAGCTCATACCATAATAGACCTTTATCACTCTCCTTTACTTCTAGATTCCCACTGTACAAACATAACTTGGTATTTAATTCTGATAACTTCAGTCAAGTCTCAGGGGGCACGATTGAGTTATTGCATAATAATTGCAGATTCTTTGTGAGCTGTCTGTTCTTCTCAGCTAAGTTGTTGCATTTTTCTTTTTCTTTTGGCAAAGATGGCAAGCCAAGCTATTTTGTAGCTTATATTTCAGGCAAAGCATTCATTTCTATTATGACTGCTGTAGAATTTGGTTGTGGGGAGGGGGAACTGTGATACATTTGGTGAAGAGAGGTCCAGCTCTCCCTTTGGCTATAACATGTTGTGACTTATTTTTAAAGGTTTATAAAAACAGATTAATTCTTCACAGGTTACATATTTCCCTCTTCCCATCACCCTCATAACCCTAGTATGAAAGCATTTATTTAGCTTGATCTTTTTAGTGGCTAACGTGGACATTTTGCTTTTGCTAGGCAATGTGTGTTGCCATGTTGTGAGCCTTTTGTCTTGGGTTGTTGTAAAAAATTTCAAGTCAGACCACCTAATTCTAAGGTAGCATGCATGTTTGTTATTAAAAGGAAGGGAAAGGTACTAGACAAAGAGAATCTACACATCTACACATACACATGTTAGAATGCACACTGCACAATCAAGATATTGTGCTATGATGTTTGAAAAATGAATTGCAAAAGGAAAAGACAGACATTGATCTATCATTTGGAAAGACCTCTTGATTTTTCTCTGTCAGTATCCTATCACACCCTAAAGCAGGGTGGGAATGGTGTAGCCCTCCAGATGTTGTTGGATAACAGCTCTTTAGCATTCCTCACCAATAGCTATGCTAGTTACAGATGTTGGGAATCACAGTTCAGTGTGAAAGGAGCAGGGATACATGATTCCCAGCCTTGTCCTTAAGGAAAAGGGCATAAAGGAATGGCTGGAAGTTCTCAACCAAGCCAGCAAAGACAAACAGCCAAGCAAAACATGATCACTCCCAGAAGAATTAACTTCAAGACTAATACATCCATTATGACTTATTATTTAAGAAGAAAACAGTCACAAATCAAATTTCATATAGAAGTTTCAGAAGTTTGATTGCATTTGGCCTTTTTCATCCTGTCTTTCAATGTAATCTCTCTCTCGAAAGATACATCTTGCAGATTCTCTTCCGGAGAACAGACTTGAGGGTGTGGGTATAAGCTAAGATATATCTTTTTTAAAATGTGAAGTCCAATTTCTAAAGACAAAAACTTTTTTTCTGATTTTGGGGTTAGCAGCAAATCGGATCACAAGATATTAATTACTGTGCAGAGAATCACATGCAGAAACCAGCTTACACTGCTTGAATAAGCAGTGGTCACATCTAGGCCATCAGAACAGAAGCACAGTTTTCTCAGTTCCTTTTTCCTGTACTTTACCAGATTTTATCTGGAAAAAGAGAAGAGTAGAGCAGTAAGGGTGGATACTTATTTGGTTTGGTGCAATCATAACATATCAGATTTAGAATTTTAGTTTCAGATATTATCTTACAAGATGTGACTACAGGGTTTAGAGAAGGCATGGACAAAGATTGGCATTCCAGTTACTCTTGAACTGTAGTTCCCACATTCCTAACCATTGGCTATGTTGCTAGAACTGATGAGAGGAGCAATTCAAGAACATCGGGAGGAATACACTTCACCTGCACTACTTTAGAGTAACTAATATTTTTATTTTCCCCTCATTTTTTCCCAGTAAAAATTAATTCCTTTCCAATTTTCCCTGTAATTTGGTACTTATGGAATTGTCTGCCCTTTCCCTATCTTATGGTTTGTCAACAGTAGTGTTATATATATGAAAACTTTCCTGACCTGTGTATCCATGGGGGGGAAATTAAAATTTAACCTTAATGAAAAGAGTTTAAAATATAATACAAATCTTTTTTAAAAAAACTGAGCCCAGCAATGAATAAAGTATTTCTAGATTTCTGTAGTTGACAAGGATAAACTTGTAGATTTGACTTCTTGGTCAGTAATGAAAGAAATTTCCTAAATTATGCCATAGAAAAAGTACATTTCAGATACGTAAACTTGGGAGATTGTTGCTTTCGATTCCACTCCTCAAGTGTATAATTATTATAGAAAGGTAAAGCACACAGATCCTTATCTAGAAGAAGAGTTTTGTGGTGTTGTGACTTTAAAATAAAAAATGTTCTCATCAAATAACAGATGTGAGCTATATCTGATAAAACTGTCCAGAAGATGGTGGCCAATATAACCTTGCCAGGTGCAATGATAAAAATAGTTTTCTCTACAGATCTAGGCTTAAGGCATAGAGACAACGGAAAAAGACACTTTCACTTCCCCTTATGAGAGCCACTTTAATCAGCTTTCATGCAACTCCAAATTATTTTGGCTTTAGTTTCTGGAAGTATTTTAATTGATAATGTTTTCTTGCCTTATTCATACCATTTAGATTTTTTTTTAATTGAATTTGCATAGCAGGTCAGACTGAAGGGCTAGCCTGCCCATTGCATCTATAAATTAATCACTGCCAATAATTGATGAGAGCAGAACACTGCATACCCTCCAACAGTCCCAATTTGGCAGGAACAATCCCAATTAATACTCTGTTATCCCATTTTGAAGCTGCTTTTAAAATGTCCCAGTTTCTTTCTCTTTCACCCACTTTACTTCTTTGTCTTCAGTTGCTATTAACTGAGTTCAACTCAGACGAAGGCAAACTGGTGCAGCTTCTCCTAGGTCTTATAATGAGATATTCTTGGCAAGACTTGTTCAGATGGAACTTTGGCCTTGCCTTCCTCTGAGCTGAGAGAGTGTGACTTGCCCAAGGCCATCCAGC